AATAAGGAGAAACTACTAACTAATCCTTTAGATAATTTAAGATGCTTCCACATCGAAGTGAAAGGTCAATTGAAAATTGTATATTTACTCTTCTCAAAGCACCGATATTCTATTAAAGCTATTCAAACACTAGAACGAGAAAATGGAATAAATATTGCTTTGATTTGTTTAAATAGTTCATTACCTTTTGAAAGACAAAATCGTTCGAGTTGACAAGGCTAAACTATTCCCGAGAACCAGCTCAGGAATTTGCCAGAACGACTTTCTTTCAAAAAATTTCCAAGAGAGATTAAATGATCGATGGGGAAATTTCGGCCATCCTGACCACAAATACTGTCTCATATTTTGATGTCTGAAATTAAGCTATGAATTTTAATATTTGTAATATTTGGGAACATAAATTTGGTTCTAATGAATAATTCTTAGCATCCGAAGTAATAAAGACGGAGAGAATTCCACATCGATTGGCCAGGAGTGCAGCCACAAATAGAGAGCGGCGACATGCCCGATTAGAATGTAAATTCTTGGAACACTTAGGAACGGCTTAACTCCCTCATATCCCCGCCCAATAAATAAGCAATAAAATAAATAAACACGTAATGGACTGGCCATTTTCTAAACGATGTTTTCATGCAGATCATTGATGACAATTTATTTTATATAAAATTTTATTGCGATCATTTTTAATTATAAAACCTATATTGGGAAATTGCAAGCATTATACCATATAGCCATTAAATAAAAGACTTGAAAGTTGCTTCTGGCTTACTGCCATTTATCGGAAACGATGCCTACTGAACACTGATTTTGAATTTCAGAAAATTAGCCAATACCATCTTCCTTGAAATATAAAAGAATTCTAACTATCTACGCATTTACGGGCTGTTGGCATTCGTCAGTCTGGTGCAGGATCTACGTTGAAGACTCAAAAGAAGAATTTTCCTTAACACACACCTTCATCCATATCTTCTCTACTCTTGACTCTTTAAGTATCCCTTCATATGTTATTTAATAGTTGACGAATTAAAGATATTCTATAAAAATTTCAAAATACTATAGATTCGCAGAGTACAAGTATAAATTCAGGAAAATTTGTATGTCTAAATGATTCTTTCATGATTAGAAAAGGTAATAAAATGCCCCTCCCACCAACCTAAGCATATTATATATTAATAAATGTGCTGAACCCTAAGAGAACAAAAAGAGAAGATATGAATAGAATGGCAATGCCGTGCTTGTTATGCGCACCGGTGCAATGGCGTAATGAAGGACCGCATGCTGGGACGTCCATTACCCAAAGCTCAGCCGAAATGAATAGAACAAATCGATAGAGGATCGCGACCCACAACATGCAAACGGCATAATGATGTAATCTCATATTCACCAGATGGATGCGCGGCGACACTCTTTCAAACCTCCATCCAAAAGCTATCAGTGTTTTAAGAAATGGAATCAAATTGAATAATTCTCCTCCAGACCTAATGGCCCACCCAGAACTACATATTGATATCTCTCACTAGGAGTGCTATAAGCAAATGGGTGATAAATGACGCCGACAGCAATCATTATTAAAGAAAAAGTCGTAAATGGCACATTATCTTGCTAGGATTTGGGAAGCGGCATTAGCCAGAAATTTACTTTCCTGTGAAATAAATCCTGTTTTAGAGAAACTTTGGTGAAAATGTGAAACCTAAATAAATTGCTCTAGCACAGAATATAAGAGACGTTTTAGTCCTTTTTAATCATTATTGTTTGATGTCTAAATTTGAGGTTTACAAGAGATTATTTAGAGAACTAAAACTTCTGGATAAATGAAGCTGATTGATAAGTATTCTGAGCAATAGAAATACAAAGGTGTGTTTGCATCATAGGTATAAATACAATACATGCTGAACCGATAATTTAGCGAGATATGTTCAAGAGGAATGTTGGATGATCTTCATATATAGCTTCTAAAGATAGAAACAAAGAATAAAAACACAAAATGAACATTTTACATTCTTGAAAAATCCACATTTTCTTTAATTCCTTGAAAGATATTTAGTTAAATTATTAAATAAAAATCATTTCATTAAAAAAATAGCAGCAAATAATTTTATTTCTTGGATTACAGGTTCTCGCTAATGCGCCTTTAATATAAAAAAATCTTTATATTTTAAAAATATATTTCAAGGACACTTATATTAATTACTATTGATAACACACTGAAAAAAAGTTCATGTTCTTATTTAGATTTTTAAACTAATCCTTTATATTTGTGTAGAGTTTAAAAATCGAGTATTTCCTAAAGCATTCTATATATATTAGTATATTTTGGATTATAATATTTCATATAGAACATTGATACATTATCTTTATTGTCAATTTTAAATCAGAATAGTTTGTCGCTTTAACAAGTTTCTGCTACTAAAACTCGACGGTAAATTTGAAGCGTCTAAAGGGAATGCAATTGTTGTTGACAACGCTCAACAGGTCAGATGGAGACTGAATGACCCAGACAGATCATCAAAAGTTTATACTTCCCCAGAGAGATTCTTTCACCTGAAGACGACAATTCAATTATGGCGGAGGAAGAGGCCCGAGAGACTTCTCTGCGGTAAACAACACGCGCGCTATCCCAGGGGAGTTCCCAGCGCGAAATATTCCTTTGCTCAAACTGATAACTTCTCGCGGGAGAAGGGGGGTCCATCGCTCTTTCTACTCTTTATTCCCCTTCCATGGATTTAGGAGCTTAGGGTGGCAACAATAGCGACTTGTAGAAAAATATAGTACAAAAATGTCATTGTACTAGAGAGGATCAGAGAAACTTCGGCCAGATGAGTTTACCTCGGGACCAAAATTGATCTTGAATATCTTGAAGATAGAGGTTGTCTGACCGGCATTCATTGTTCTTGAAATAAGAGACATTCTTCGGCCAGAAGAGTTTGCTATTATTTCAGTTTACTCTTATTTCAAAGTGTAGCTTATAAATGCCGGCCAGGCAACCTCTATTTTCAAGAGAGGATCAGGTTGACAAATTAAGGAAAAAACATCTGATCGTGCAAATGAAAGCTGCTAATGGCTTGCGCCATTTGTCGAAATAAATATCAATAATTCGTTTATTTTTAATTATTCCAGAATATTAGCCAATTACCCATTCTTTTTTAATCAAGAAAAGCCAATCATGTACCTGTTTCAGGCTGTTGACCCTCGTCAGCGTGATGCAGGCTGTGCCTCAAGCGCAAGTCATCAGCAACTTACAGTTGCACGATCAGGGGATCCTTTTTTTTTTTCAATATCGCGACTTGTACTTAACATCTTTTGCCATCGAGTTGCCACACGTACCTTATACAACTGTAAGATTAAATTGTTCTTGAGGTAGAGTACGACCTCGCCATAGTTGGGAAAATGTTCAACAGAGGAACTGCTGTGGAAAACTCCACTAATTCTGTAAGATATATAGCTAATTGATTTAACATTTTTTACATTAATGCTATTTTCACATGAATAATCAAAAATACCTATTCGAATATTACTGCGATGATAGAAAAATTAGATGAAAGGACTTAGCAGTGGTAAACCCTCTCAGTGGTTTTTCCGACTTAATCTCCAGATAGCTTTTTTACAATTAGAACGATTTTCTCTATGTCTATGATATATTTGAAGTTATATTATATTGTTTATATTCACGTTAATTTTTAAACTGCCAATCATGCTGTGTGTAAGGTTATGAGGCATTGCTAACCTGTGCTCTGGTGTTGTTCTAGGGATGTGGCGCACGACCTCGGCATTTCCTCCACATTAGAATGTGTGGAGCGTTGTGATGTCACATCAGACTGGGTGAACAATTGGGATGTCACATTGGGTGTTGTTATTTTTTTCTATTTTATGGAATATATGTCATTCTCTATAAAAATGCCTTTATTTAAAAACAATTTAGCCAAGTAACAACTACAGTTTTCCATTTATTACTTTACATATGTATTCAAAATAATATGTAGCGTACAATTGAGGATGTGTTACTTGTAGACAACGTGTAGAAAACATTCGAAGAGTTCATGTTGGCCATGAATTGATATTGAAGTCATTCAAAAAAACGTCACAATCCACGTCATGATGTTGTTGTAATACACACGATAGAAACGTAGACGGTTGAGAGGATCTTTCCGAGTGAAGAAAGTTTTTTCGTGCAAGGATTTTGAAATATTTAAAATGCGTGCTGTTTGACCTTCATTTTGTAAAAAAAATTTGACGAGTCACCCACCAAAAAAAGATCTAGAGCTCCTACAAGTGCACGCGTAGAACATCATCTTCTTGGATTGATTCCAATACCGTAGTGAAAAAGAGCGAGTGGTTCTATATGTAGAGAGAACATTTCCCAATGGCGCTACCGTGAAGAAATCTTTTTTTGGTGAAGTACTGAATAAAATGGGGGGTGAGTCCAGGGTCCCGTATCAGCGGGGGGCTCGGCGTCTTTCCTCAATGTCAGGAGTGGCTAAATGGCATTTCCCTCAATGTCAGCAACGACTACTCAGGACATTCGCCTCTGCTTCAAGAACGTCCCCTTCTTCAGAAAAGTTCCTATCGTCACCAGAAACAATTCTAGTCCTGCTGTATAGATGCATGGACAAAACTTAAGGACATTGTACCTTTTAGCATGTATATCAGGATTCAGACAATACTTCTGAAAGATATTTGATACAGAGTCACCTTTTTTGAAGACATACAAGATAAACAAAATTGCCTCTGTCTCTTAAAAAATAATAATAATAACAGACGACCGACTATATAAAAATATTAAACTTCCTTTAATTTTGTTCCCCCTCTCCATGAGTGTATTATAGACGCCCTCTTTATTCGTGACAGATCAGCAGTGTGAGGTGTAATCAATCTAGCAATCTAGTTTACAACCTTGGCCCCCATAGCTCTGTTGATTTAACGACAATTCACAAAGACCTCAATAGTTATTGGAAAGCAGTAAATGCTTCAATAGACGATAACGACTAAGGGAGTTCAGGATTGTCGTTAGGTTAAACTGGTTAAACCGTTTGGTTTTCGACAACTACGACCCGGGTTCGATTCCCGCATTGGACACTTTTTTCTGTTTAAAAAAAATGCTCCAATGGCCCCCGATTCTTGCAAAAGTCCAACCTCACCAGCGAGTGCAAGTAACCAAACGGGGCTCTGGCACATTTGTAAGTGCAAAGTCGAACTGCTTTTCACATGTGTAGACATGTGGTGCGCTTACAGTAAAAAGCAGTCGCTAACTACCCACCATGATTATCATGGCCTGTACCACGTGTACTAGGGATAAGCAAAAAAAAAAAAGGATTGTCGTTGCCTCTCTTGGGAAGTTCTACTGGAGCAACTTCGGTTTGTCTGGTGTTAGAGCGATGCGGCAGTTGAGAGAGAAGCGGAACATACTCCTCGTGGAAGGCGATGTAGTTACGATATTTGTATCAAGAAATAAAACTGCTCTATATATAAGAGCACGTGTAAGAGGACCCAATCTAATGAACTTTCAGAATTCTATAAAAATTTTGATTTCTCTCGGAATATTGTTCATAGGAGAATTCTATATGTTATTCTATTGATATTAAAAGTGGATGTTGCCTGACCAGCTTTCATATTCAGCAATAACATCGGCTAGCAAAGAGAATCGCTGAAACGTCGTATAAATAAGGAATTTCCATCTAATCGATTCTTCTAGTACAAATATTAAATAGAGAACTTATTGTTTTATATTTTACATACTTTTTGTTTGCTAAGCCGTGAACGAGAGATAAAAAAGTGTGGACATGTAAACCAAAATCCTATAGGGGAATGTACTAAATGGTTTCCTAATTCGAAATAGAAGAAACAAAAAACGTGCCAGCTAAATTAATGGTCTCAACTTCCCTCTATTGTGAGATCCCACAGAGAGACAATGGCACCGTCGCCGCCGACCTGGACGCTAGCACGTACCACCGCTGAAAGAAAACGATGTCCAATACCGAATATCTTGAACGCGTACAATATTCCATCAGATCCATTAAATAATAGAGAATACAATAATTAAAAGTTGGATAAGGATGAATTCAAGTTGTTGAAATATTCATCAACCCTTTGTTAAGTTTATTGTTCTGGCTTTTCGACGACCCAGTATCGCCCTTTTCAAAGATGGAAAGCTTTTTAGCGAAGTATTGTCTACTTCACTGATAATATTTCCATATCTTTGAAAATGGCGACAGTGGGTGATCGAAACATCAGTGTAATGAACTTTTTTTAAAGGGTTGATCATTTCTACAACTTGAATTAATCCATTAGATAAGTAACAGAAGAGATCTACGTAACACCGGTATAAAAATAAAACGATATTATACAGAAAATATCTTTAACGTACAATATTCTATGTGATCCATTAGATAACAGCAGAGATAACCGGTAAAACCGGTATAAAAATAAAACGATGTTATACAGCAAATGTCTTTAGCGTACAATATTCTATGTGATCCATTAGATAACAGCAGAGATAACCCGGTAAAACACCGGTATAAAAATAAAACGATGTTATACAGCAAATATCTTTAGCGTACAATATTCTATCAGCTCCATTAGATAACAGCAGAGATAACCGGTAAAACCGGTATAAAAATAAAACGATATTATACAGCAAATATCTTTAACGTCCAATATTCTATCAGCTCCATTAGATAACAGCAGAGATAACCGGTAAAACACCGGTATAAAAATAAAACGATATTATGCAGCAAATATCTTTAACATACAATATTCTACCAGCTCCATTAGATAACAGCAGAGATAACCGGTAAAACACCGGTATAAAAATAAAACGATATTATACAGCAAATATCTTCAACGTACAATATTCTATCAGCTCCATTAGATAACAGCAGAGATAACCGGTAAAACACCGGTATGAAAATAAAACGATATTATACAGAAAATATCTTTAACGTACAATATTCTATCAGCTCCATTAGATAACAGCAGAGATAACCGGTAGCACCGGTATAAAAATAAAACGATGTTATATAAAAAATATCTTTAACATACAATATATTAGCAGATTCATTATATAAGTAATAGAAGAGATCTACGTGATACTGGTGTAGATATAAAAATTTGTTATAAAGCAAATATCGTTAACGTACAAAATTCTATCAGCTCCATTAGATAACAGCAGAGATCTACGTGATACTGGTGTAGATATAAAAAGCTGTTATAAAGCAAATATCGTTAACGTACAAAATTCTATCAACTACATTAGATAAGTAACAGCAGAGACCTACGTGATACTGGTGTAGATATAAAAAGCTGTTATAAAGCAAATATCGTTAACGTACAAAATTCAAACAACTCCATTAGATAAGTAACAGTAGAGACCTTATATACACTGTTATATAAATAAAACGATGTTATATAACAAATACCTTGAGCTTACCTTGATTCTACACGAAAATAGAACAAAAGGAAGAACGTACCAAATCAGGTGGTAAAGTAATGAAAAAGAAATCTCCTGATTGTGCAACTGAACGTTGCTGATGGCTTACGCCATTTATTGCAATAACATTGAACTAAACGCCGATTTTTTGTGTATTTCTTGATATGTACAGAGCACGCGTTTCGTACTGTTGACTCTCGCGTTAGTATAATACAGTCTCTACGTTAACGGTAAAACAAGGTGGAACTATAGGTATCTTGATAAATCAAGGAAAATTATTTTCTATTTATTTCCGCATTTTTAACGTACTCACGCAATTTTAGCATTAAATATCTTTCTCGTTTATATCAGGCAGCCTCTCTCTAGGACCAAATTTAGTCATTGAAGAGGCAGTCTGACCATTCGAGGGGTTTATCTGGTTGGTTTCTCTTGATTTTTAAGAAAATCTTTTAATGAATATTCTGGAATAAAATATGCACCACTAGGTTTATATAGATAGTGCTCGCCAAACGCAACATTCAGCTGCCAGTGAGTGGAATTATCTTATTCTACAAATTCCGTATAAGAGTCTCCATTAAACCGGGCACATATATATGGTAAGAGGAGATCGCTTTCAGAGTTATTGTCTGAATCCCGATATATACATGCTAAAAGGGTACAACTTCCTTAAGTTTTGTCCATGAGTGTATATAAATAGTTTTGAAAATAGAGCAATCCATATTTAAATCTTTAGATAATAAAAATACCTATAGTAGATTGAATAGAAAGATTTATTTGCCAATATATGTCTTTTTATTATCTAAAAATATATATAAATGTTAAATCATATATATATAAACCCGCCATCTGTATCAAAAATGAAAAAATATTTAGGTACATATCTTTTTTATTATGCCTTTATTTTAAAAATAGAAAATTTCTTACTGCCCTTATTATAATGCTAAAATATTAGAAGATCCTGGCTGCTAGATTAAGCTGGCGAAACCGCTGGTAGGGTTCCCCACTGACGAGCTAGGCCTTCCTAATATTTTATCATTGGAGTAATAACAGTATGGAATTGTTTATTTAAAAAGGGGGGAAAAACATATGCTCCTTATTCGTTTATAATTTTGAACATAGAAATATATTTATTTTAATAATCAATCGTCTTGGATACACTCTCTATTACTCCTCCATTCTTTAAAAGATATAGGGTACAAAAAGAGTGAAACCAAATTTAAAGGTCCAATCATTAAAGAGCCCTGCAACAATGGCTCGCCGCGATCATATTAAATTTGGCGACCACAAAACAGACACATCCCTCAGAGTCGCTAAATCCCAAGGTTTTCAAGCGAAACGTTTATGCATTATTAAATTAGAAGGGGGGGGGGGGAGTTTTTTGTGGAGGGAGGGCAAGGGATTTCACCCCTCCCTCTCTAATAACGCCGTGTCCCCGCCCTCCAGGACACCACCGTCCCCCCCAAGAAGATTAGCTTCCAGTTGCCATAGCAACGGCCCACCAAACAAACCGAACCCTCCCCCAGACACCCGCTAGATCGATGCCTCCTCACCCGCCTGCCGGAGGACTGAAAGGGTGGGAGCCTGCAGCTGGCTCTAACCCATGCCAAGCCAGGAACTCACATCTTTTAAAGAAATATCACCAAATTGGGAAAATAAATTCCCCCATTTTATAATAATAAAAGGAGTTTATTATCTGGCCTTCAAATATAAAAATATTAAAGTATTAGCCCACAGCACATATGAGACGGAGTATTTCAAGAATAATTAGCCTAAAAATGTGGCGAGGTAAAAAATCCAACTATTCTTCACCCCGCTGAATACACGGAATAAGCGTCAGATCCCTATAATAGATATATACTAAAAATTCTAATATCATTATAATCATAAATACAACTTTTAAATGATTTTTTTTTTAAGAACAAATAATGTAAAAAAAAAAACCAATCATTTTAGTGTCAAAAAAAAAAGAGAGAAAGAGACGTCGAAAATCAAACCCACGAGAGATATTATATTTAATATAATACTTCGTTGTTCAAGGCAACCACTTAGATAAAAACTATATGCTGATTGGCTGATCGAGGTCACGTGATATTAGATAATCAATCAGCAGGCGAATAAAAAAAGCCCCAAATACACTATATAAATTTCTGGAGCTCAAAAATAATTTATTTTGGTTAGCAGCCCCGTAAATAAAGATATTTTCTCACTATATAAATATATAAAAACATTAAAGCGTATATTATAGTAATTTTTTTGCTCCATTCAAAATTACAAATATCGTTGTGTGATGATCACATATAATGTAATTCGAATAAATATCACCTGTAGAGAAATATGATTTTATGTTTAGTTGTTTATCTATCGTTTAAGGAGTTAAAGTTTTCAGGACATGTACTCCGTAGTTTATAGTGAAATCTTCTGTCTATTTTATATCCTTCCTGAAGGATACCTTTTGAAGAATGAAGGGAGAAGTAGACCAAAGAAAAATATTGGTTTGATACTCTAATAGAATGATCTGGAATTAAACGTGAAGAGATGAAGAAAATTGCTCAGAATAGGGTGAGATGGCGTTTAAACGAAGGATGAGCTTCTTATCGGAGATGGTAAAATAGGTGTGATATATTGCTGAATGATTCCTTCTAGTGTACTAAATTCCTTAGAATATATACAGCCCATAAATTTAAATAGCAACAGAATTGTTTTAGTACAAAGCAAAAATTTAGGTGCTAGTTTCAGACAAGCTTATTATTAGCTTGCTATGATTCACTATTAAAAAAAGATTTTACAAGTACATGGCACTAATTCATGGAATTTTAGGACTAACACTGTCTTTACGCTAGGTGGAAAACATTTCTGTTAGTGTAGGGGCTGTCAACCTTGTACTTGTTAGGCTTCGTTTGGCGGGTAGGGCAATCACGAAATCTCGTTGGAATCAACAGATGCGAGAGGTAAAATTCTGATTGCGATTGAAAATGCAAATTGACTGGAGCGGAAGGCGCTGCCATGGTTGTCATGTTGTTGATGAACTGGTTCCAATGTACTATCGTTGTTATTCTATTCTGGACACGTATTTTTCTGCAACTCTCACTTCTTTAATCCTCCGTAGCTTGGGAGTCGCACAATACAAAACCACGTGGATATGGTAAAAAGAATTACAAATAAAATCAAATATATTGTATGTTAAAATAGGAGGCTGGTAGGGTCGTTTTCACCTTTTGCTATAAATATCTCTGGCTATATATGTTGGAAGGGAGTTGGCACTTTTACGTCTACTCTCCTTTCTTTAATGAGCTAGAGATAAACAAAGGTAAGACCTGGCTTGGAGCTTGTCCAGTAATCCCTATGCTAGGGAATGTCGGCTAAAGATTTAAATACCAGTGGCAATAAATAAAAGAATGATTTGCCGTCCACGCTGCAGGAAGATCCCAGAAACGATGAGGACCATCATGAAGAGCGTGACGGAGGCTGGCACGAGAGATGTGCCGATAAAGACCTCGCGGATCCCGTGCACCGAGTCCATTGAGCAGGTCTTATGGAGAAAGTCCTTAGTGAACTCGCTGCTTCTGTTTGAATCTACACCGATAAATTTACCAAATATCCGCATTTTACATTAGATGTCTTATTCCTCCGCGAACACTTTTGTAAAACCATGTAGTTCTCGTAGGAAGACCGGCGTCCAACCTTTCCGAAATATTGGCTTAAATAAACAATATTATTAATCCAAAATCAGACAAAAATTTTGTTACTCTATTTCATATAAATATATATGGGTTGCTAACTTTATCTATAGGAAATACATATATATTATTTTTGAAAACTCTATTATATAATTTAAAATGAAGGTATTTATTTATATTGCCGAAATTCCTCATAACCCCATATTGATGTTGTCGGCGCTAACCCGCGTTTCTGGAACCCGGGTTATCTCCATGTATATCATCGTCATTGATGGGAGAAGAAGTGGTCAACATGCAGGGACGATAGTGATCCTTGGACAAGGAAAGGAGAGGGCAGAAAGATTTTGCATCAAAGGGACTGCTGGACAGTGGACAGTTGACCAACTAGGAGTAATCTCCTTCGACGTAAATAGCCTATAAGCTCAAATTTTCTACATTTATATCTATTTATTGCATTAAAGTATTTGAGAACGATATTCCTCTCGTGTTACCTTCAAAGTGATGCCACATTCTACGGCAGTTTTGTTCGTTGAAAGATGTCTTTTTTACATAATGGTGAGATGTTATCAGAATCATTCCTAATATATCACTTATCTATCACCTAACATCTGAATATGAATGAAGTGTGTAAAAATCAAGCAGATATAAAATTGGAGATATTAATAGCTCTGATGTTTCATATATTTGTAATAGAAATATGTGCTGTAATAGAAAATAGTTTAAAGTTTCTTTAGCCTAAAATCAAACGTTTTCAAAATGTCTAAATTTGAGGATGATACCTCTCCACCCCAAGACCAGCATTGACTTCTTTATTAAAGAAATTCACATTCTTAATGTATTAGGAAATAGGCCCCTAACTCCCGTATATATTAGGTATGTATATGCTTTTTTTTAAACCATCCTCATTAGATAAACTGCTAAAAGAAGGAAGAAGATGATGATGGCTGGCTTAAATTATCATTCGGGTTAAGAAAGATGTGCGGTTGCTTTCGAACTTTCGTGCAGTTAGAGAGAAGAAGCGCTCAAGTAGAAGAAGAAGGAAGAGAAGTTCTGGCCTAGCAATAGTACTTACCGCATGCATGAATCCATCGTGGATCCATATGCACCACACAACCTCTCTAGAACCGAATTTGTCAGCGAGTTTCCACCTACAAACTCGGATCTACAGGGTAGATGTAGAACATAAGGCTTCTCCGGGCTCAATCTTGATCGACGGAGGCTCGTCCTTCTTGATATTTTGCATTCGCCAGCAGAAAGTTAAGGGAGAAAGCATGCTTGTGCTCATTCGACTTGTGAGCTCTACAACTAAAACAAAGAAATTCCTCCATTCATCATCTTCTTCCTAGTTTTTGCAGCTCCCTTATAATATAATGTACCCTCTCTCTGCCCCCTTTTTTTGAATGTCTTCCCAAGGTTTTCACCCAGAATTCTCTATTTAGTCTCACTACCCCTTTATTTGAAAACTTTATATAAGGCTTCATCTTTTTTTTTTGATATATTTTCTTGTTTCTAAAATTTGATCCTTATTCAATATTGATATAAAAAGAACAATTTATTTAAAGGTATTTACTTTTTTTCATTGTTTATCTATTTGTTATTGTAGATTAAATAATTTTGAAAACAAAACAAAAAAGGATAAATTTGAAAATCGATGTATATATAAATTTTGCTCTCATCAATTCTATACAACAAAATAAAAATATATATTCAAAATTAATTCTGGAAACTTGGATCGAGAGATACTCGTTTTATTCCAATTATTCAGCTGAAATGATTATTTCGCATAGAAAAACAAATGTATCAGAATACGAAAAACAAAAAAATAATTATTTCGATGATGAAAATTTCAAGATGAAAATGATAAGACCAATAAAAAGGTGAATGGATCATGCGTGGTGTTTTAAAATCAGAATTTCTCATCATAAAAAAACCAGATTCTAGTAGTAACGCTGCTGCTGAAATGTTACGTTTAGTTCACGTATCAGGATTTGGTTTGTTTTCATGGATTGCTTTCCCTAAATGTGCCATGTGTTATTAAGAATTTCTGGGAAGCATAAACCGGAGATGGACATATTTGAGAGATGGTCACCATCATTATTAATCCATCTGTTTGTGTCAAAATACAACATTTTGATATGTTTAAAATACTTGTTGACTTGAAAAATAACAGGGGTGACAAGAAAGGGTTGTAATTGGAAAATTTCCTTGATATTCAAATCTTGAAACCTCAATGTTCTAGCTCGGTAGGTCTCTGTCGCCTCTTAGATCTTAGTTTCACGAAGAAAAAGGTATATAGAATTCTTTTAATTCTGAATCGGGTTTGTGTGGTTATATGTTCCGGATTCATGGCAACTCTTTTATCTCCAAAATATAATTCGAAATATAATTTTTTTAAAACGCTAAAATGTTATTTTACTTACATAACCTGTTGGTGACCGTTGTTTAGAACTCCATGCTCACCTTTGTTCTCCAGTCGGCAGCTCTGTTCCAGCACTTGAGCACCGTAAATAAACTTTCGCAATAAATTCCTTGGACTCTCAAGATAAAACAAGGAAGCAATTATTTTATAAGTGTCTCATTAAAATAAATTCTAAGAAATGTTGCGATGTAATAGTTAGTACATCTATAAAGTATCCATTAGATGATTTTTAACATTCAAGATATACCTCGAATACACGTTATGGGAAAGTTTGCATTGCTATAATTTCCCTTCGGAAAGTAGTGGTGATGCTTATCTCCTTATCATACCGATGGGGGCGCTTCCTGTTGATGAGAACATCTGAGCCACACAAAGATAGAAATACGACATTGCCTGTTAACATTTAGCTAGGCTTAGTAGGACAGCCTTCATTGTAGCCCTATTAGGAGTGAAAGACTCCAAACATACTGTCCTGCCCAAGGTCACCTCCCGCCACGCTGAGGCAGTTAACAGGACTTGGGGAGGTTCTCAGAAGGTAAAGGAAAGAGATATTAGTCTGTATTGTAGTTACCCTTAAACCTCTCCTTTTTATGAACCGATACATCACGTCCCTATAATTACTCAAAAAGATGATTTTCACATGAGCGACATTGATTTGGATAACTATGATATTGTCATATATTTGAAGTAAACACATTATTATTTGAATCAACCACTTTTTGAATAGCAATGACGATGTGACAAAGGTACAAATAGGCTTTTTCATATTAGGGTATTACAAATACTAAAAGAAATTATATCGGAGAGATGTCTTATAGGTTTTTAGTTGCGAAATGATATATATAATGCATATCTTGCATAGAAGGACAATTCTAATGTTGTTTTCTTTCAAAATTCTACTATAGGTACCTTATATTGCCGGTTGTTCGTCTAACTTTGACTGTTGTAACGTCATGCATTTACAAAAAAAAAAAAAAAAAAAAAGATTGTATAGATATTGCAGGTAAAATCTGAGCTGTGTAATACAAATATATTTTCTTGAAATACATATATAGGCAACTTGTTCCATTACAATCAATACTCTTATTAAAAAAAAAAAGAATATACTAACTATAATCCATGAAGTATTTTTATAAATTCTCCAATTAAAAATTTCCTCAGAAGTTTATTTAGCTATATATAACTAGTTGCTTAGAACATATTTCAAGGATTGTTTAACCTTTCTCAGATTATTGAAACCAAGTTTGTTCAAAATCTTTCAAACTTGTTTCCGCATGAATAGCTAGTTGGAAAGCACCTTCATTTCATTAGGTGTAAGATAACTGTACGAATTCCTATACGAATATCGGATTTTACAATAAGGAATTCAAAAAGGAGAGATTTAAATGAAAGGTCCGAGCACACGTAATTCCGTGATGTAGCTTCGCAATAACTCCAGCACAGACGAGTCCAGAATATCGGTGAGGTCCACCGAGGGAGTGAGAGAGGCGGGAAGATGGCGGGCGACTGAGAACAGAGACCACATCATTAATTAAAAAGTGTCCTTTCAGAAGCATCACCTCGGGCGCCTAATCTAATATGGAGCTTGTAGAGCAGGCGCCCAGGCGAGTCTGGGCTACGAGCAACGAGATAAGTTCCTTTGTTTTAATTTAAGCCAATTAGCAGCGGAGGAGATGTGAGTCAGAGAGGGAAGGAGAGCCTGCCTCTGACAACGTTATTAATGATCGGACCAAATGCTGCCGCCGCGCCGTATAGATTGAGGCCTGTGCGCTGGTTGGAGTTTGGGTTGAAAACTTTTTATCTCTCTCTCTTTTTCTCTTATTCTCTCTTCTTTGCGAGCTTCCCTCCCCAACACCAAAAAAGATCTATCTCGTTTTTCTTTTTCTTTTTTATCCCATTTCTTTCTTCGTCCGCTTCCCTTTTTCAAGAAACCCCGATAAAATAAAATAGGTGTTTGTTTATGGTATATAATTCTACGTCGTTCCCAATTCCTTCCTCTCTTCTTACATTTTTCTTTCGTTTTTTGAAAAATAATTTTTTATTTCTTTTTTTTTTTTCTCCTCTTCAATTCTATTCCATTCTCGTGGCTTGCCTTTGGCTTAGTTATTGTCGTGTTGTGCGAAATAGCAAAATTAAATAGAGATTGATATATTGCGAGTGGTGGTTAAACTATATATTATGCTCTATTTTATCAAATATATTTTAAAATTGAATTATAACTTCATTTATAAAAGACATTCAAATAAATTATAAATAAAATTCAAATTTCATTAATATTATTTTACGAAAGATACACAGGGTCCTATATATTTATAAAGTTTAAAAGATATAGGATTTTATGTTCTCTACAAAATTAAACACTTCATGTTAAAATAAGATTGTATTTTTAATAATACGTGGTTATTTACCAATGCATATGAATGTGTATGTGTTAATTCATACAAGTCCTGAACAGAGCACCGCACATCAAGCTGTGCTGGGTATGTGGACACAGTGGAGGCAATGAAATAGCAGTCAGGACAGCAAAAAGTCCGCTACTTCTGGGTTGCCACATTCCTACTCCGCCTTGCCTCGAACTCATGCTCTAAACCTTCCACATATAGCTGCTCTAACCTCATGTACAGAAATATATTCCCAGGACTACTCGACCAGATCTCTCAAGAGAAAATTGCTTCTACTCCAAGCCATCTCTTGAAATTTCTACCAAAATCCGCCATGGAGAGGTTACCACCACCATCCTCACTAACCATGGCCATGTCCTAGCAGACGGACTGGGCATTCCGAAAGAGATTCAACCTGCCTTCAATGTTCGGAAGAACCACAGACAGTTGATCATCTTCTCTTCATCTATCCAGCTGGGTCCAGCATAGGATGCAAACAGCTAGCCTGCTTAGACTGACCCACCTCAACCCTACATCTATGGCCAGTCTACTAGACTCAAACCTCAGCTTGGAACTCCTTGGTCAACTTGGTACGAACTTGTACAAATAAGTAGGTCAAATAAAATGTAACACCTTAAATTCTTAATTTTTGAAAATTCATCTAGAATGGTAAATATTGACTAGACAATTCTATTCTATATGGTCGCCAATGCTACTCTTCACTAACTGGATTAACCACAGCGTGCTGCAAATATCCCGAACAACTAAGAAATTACTAGTGGTGTTTTGTGCCAAGGTTGGATAGCGAGGCAGTCTGTCACGGGGACGTCTGGACACGGCGCTTCATTTCTCCATTCTCAACACAGATCAAGAATATCGGTCAAGAAAGGTAAATACAAATTTTTGTTTCTCTAAGTAATAATTAGATACACTCATGAACAAAACTTAAGGAAGTGGAGAATCTCTCATGTCGCCGGTAGACTGTTTTTTTTTTTTGAAGGAGACAGAGACAAATTTTTTCACACTTAGTCATCTCGTGTGTCTTCAATAAAGGTCACTGTGTATAAAATATCTTTCAGAGTTATTGTCTGTATCCCTATATGCATGTTAAAAGGTACAACTTCTTAAGTTTTGTCCATGAGTGTATTTTGTGTTTAATATGTGTCCGATTTTGTCTTTAAAATTAAAAGAAAACGAGTATATTTTGTTGATAAAAATTAAATAAATGGCATACCACAATTTTTTTAGTAATTTTTAATTTTATTAAAAAAAAAAAACCTTGCGGTAAAAGCCATTTATTAAATATGAATCAACACATCTTCCGCAGTTGCGCCAACATTTCAAATATGCGAAACTGTGTGTTGAAAAAAAAATTGTG